ATTCTAGCTTGACTAAGTATTAAGTATTAAGTATTAAGACTAAGAAATAAAGTCAAGTATATCAAAAACCTTTGTCAAAACTAAATAATATGAATAACTTAACTAAATTTCTCAAAGTTGCGTAAATAATGAATTAGTTTCTTAATATACTGACTGATGATGTAAATAAATTACCTATAAAGTCTTTTTATTGCCATTAAATTTTTATGATTTATAATCTTTTTTTCCTTGACTTGTATCAAATTTCGTAGCTGAAAGTACCAACAACCTTAAAAAAAAGAAAACAAAGTATTGTAAATTATTATATATTTTTTTTGTAACAAAATTTTTTTTTTTATTAAATTAACAATTTTTTTAACATTTTTAATTGTTAAGATTTGGTTTACTTTTTTTAGTATTAGTTTTTGTTCTTTGTGGATAAGTTCAGCTTTCCTGCTAATTATTACCATGGTCAGGTTGTCTAAAAAAAAATAATTTTTTTCACAGACTAAAACATAGTTTGTTTGTGCTTTTCTTTTTCCTATGCCTCACCAACTAAAAGCAGTCATTAATGCTCATGAAGCGTATGCAAAATAATGAAATAACTATGACTTGAAAATCAGTAAAATACAAGATTTAGCAATGCAAAATAATTATGTTTTCAAAAATTCGTGTTTTTCTGATAAACTAAGTTTTTTAAAGGTGGTCTGATACATTATAGATAAATTATTGAAAACACTTATCTAATTTTATTCAACAATTTGTTGAGCCATCAGTAGGTTCATCAGGAAGATTCTTCCTGATTTGACTAAAATTTAAATTAATTATATTATTAATAATTGTTTTTTATAATTTATTTTATTAAATTTAATTAAAATTCTTTTAAAAATTTTAAAAAGGCTCCGTTTTACAGTTTTTTTTAATGATAAAATTTCCAAACTATGTTAAAGTAAAAAAAAAATTTAATAAATTTAATTGAAGTTACTTTAAAATGTTAGTATTACATATAACTTTATTTTAATTTCAGTTTTTTTTAACAAAAGTTTTTTCTTTATCATTAATTTATTCTTTATTTTAATTTCAGTTTTTTTTAACAAAAGTTTTTTCATTAATTTTTTGAATTGTTTATAAATAGTTATAAATAGTTTATAAATAGTTTTTTTTTTTCTTGAAGGTAAGTTCCAGTTCCAAATACTGGTCTGATTAATGCGCTTTTGCAGTTAATAAATGAAGTCAATGCAAAAAAGGTCTTTCAAACTCGAGTTATAAATATTATGTTTGGGTTTTCCTTTTGCCATTAAATTTTATGTATAAGAATTAAAAGAAACCAAACTTTAAACCAATTAAAAATAACGCAATCAATAAATAAACCCTTTAAAAGTCCAACTTATATTTATTTTATTTTAAAAACAAAACTTAAACTAGTGCTATTAATATAAGATACGTAAATTTCAAAATTATACTAATTATAAGATTTTAAAATAAGGACATTTTTTTTAATCAATATTTAAATTTTATTTATAATTTTTTTTAATAACAATATTCTTTAATTTAAAGATATTTCAAAAACTTTCAACAATTTTTAATGTGGTTTTAAATGTTTCCAGGGCTCAATGTTTCAAGCTCAACTTATTTTTTCAAAAATAATTTTTTCTATAGATTTTACCAAGTAAAGATAACTTTGAAAATTTTGTCTTATATACTCAGGGGCTATTCTAGACCATTGTTGACAATTTCAGTACCTTGCAGACAAACTGGAACTAAAAGTTTCAGCATTTGTGTAGTCCTTATGAACATGTGTTTAAAATGTTTCTAAGGCAGATGACCTGAGGCTCCATCGGGCTAGGGCGCTGGGGGACATGCCCCACTTATTTTTTCCAAAATAATTTTTTCTTTAGGTTTCAACGAAGTAAAGATAACTTTGAAAATATTGTTGAAAATTTTAAATGTATATATATTTTTATATATATATATTTTATGTATATATGCAGGCCTTGCGATGAATAAGAACTGCGCGACGCATAAGCACGACGTGATTTTTGACGTCATTAAATTCTTTTTATTTGCTTTTCATATTTATCAACATTAACTTCACCAATTTACTTAATTACCGCATAACTACTTTAAATCGTTTATGTTATTATTTAAAAATGTTTTGGAATGTTTCGTTTTTTAAAATGTAAAAACATTTGTTTATTTTCTCGACGTTTGTCACGTTTTGTCTATACTAAACGAATAAAAAACATTTTAACTTAAATTTAAAAAAGATTATAAAATATGCTAATATTTGATTTTTTTTTTCTTAAATATGTAATTTAAAGTTTTTCAAATAATTATTTTTTCTTTTTAAAAAGTCAGCGAGTAATAAACTGGAAATTTTAATATTGTACGATTAAAAACTGATATTTTTACAAGCGATTTTATATAATATTTATTTATTTTTATTTATTTTCACAATCACTCGTATTTATAAAAAACTTAAACGAACGTTTTGAATAGATTTTTAATGTTAACAAGGAAT